ATATATACACATCTCATCCATTTGTACATTTGAACAAATTGAACAAAGCTGTGTAATCAATTCTAATTGTACTTTTTTTTTACACGTCAATTCAAAGTTTTACATCAAAAAGTAAAAACAGCTCACTCCTCACCTTAGAGTTGGTTCAGTCAAACCCAGCTTGCACCATTTACAAAAAGGCCCCTCTGTCAGTGTTAACACAGTTCTGCTTCTCTTTCTGAACTGATAGTACAAACAGTAAAAACATGGAGCGGTTTCACAAAGTGTTTGTGGGCTGCTCTACCATGGCTTCAATGAAGTTTATGCAGGTGTGAGAGCCTCTACGTGAGCAAAACTTTTTTTTCAATTGTAAAGACAACTTGGCTCAAAACAGGCCCAGTTAGGAAATATTGATCAAAAAGAAATAAAAAAAATACAGATGTGGGACTTGAACACTGAAAATTAAAGCACTCTTTGCACTCAATTGGACTAAAACCACCTCTGTCCTCAGGCAGTGTTACAAGATAAGACAGTGTGCAATATGTCTGCAGGGCCTGATGATTAGATTTGTATCGTCTCAGAGTTGTTTTCTCATTATGCTGCTGATATTGTCTTTAATTAGAAGAACCAGAGCTGGTGAGAGGGAAAAATGTTAGTCTGGACTGGAGCAGGGTTTATTTAAATTTTGGTATTGCTGTACAACAAGGGAATCTAAATTACTAATAAACAAATACTGTTGCAAATCAATTCAATTCATTTTATTTATATAGCACCAAATCACAACAAAGTTGTCTCAGGGCACTTTACAGGAACATTCACATACATAAAAAAGACAATTAGTAAAGTTCTCTATCTAAGGAAGCAGCAGACAAGTTGAATCTTGGCTTCATTGCAGTAATCAGATTGTAAATAATTAATAAACCATTGGTATTGAAGCGGGCAGCACGGTGACACAACTGGTAGAGCTGCTGCCTCTCAGCGAGAAGGTTGCTGGTTCAAATCCCGGTCAGGCAGCCTTTCTGGGTAGAGTTTGCATGTTCTCTCTGTGCATGTGTGGGTTTTCTCTGGGTACCCTGGTTTCCTTCCACAGGCCAAAAACATGCATGTTAGGCTGATTGGTATCTCTAAATTGTCTCTAGGTGTGAGTGAGAGAGTGAATGGTTGTTTGTCTCAGTGTGTCTCTGTGATGGACTTGCGACCTGTCCAGGGTGTACCCCGCCCCTCGAACAGTGATTGCTGGACATGGGCACCAGCGATCCCTGTGACCCAAAATGGAAGAAGCGGGTAAAAGATAATGGATGGATGGATAAAGCATGCTGACCAACCAGCAAAAATGGCCTTTTCCAGAACAAATTAAATAAAAAACAGGATTTGACAAATAGTGAGACTGCTTCCTTACCTGTTTATAAATGCGTAATACTGCTTTATTAAGGGTTTACAAACTCTTACAAACGTACTCAGAAAACATAAATTATTTAGCATTATTTAGCTTTATCAGTGCTGTTGATTGTCCATGCTGCTGATTGCTTGCCTTTAAGCTGCTGTATTCACACCCATCTGCTCACTACAGACTCATGTTCAGGCTTCTGTTTAATGTACTATATTATTTTATATTATTTGTGTATAGCATACATCTTAGATCCTTGTATACTGCTTCTTTTTATACTTTGTATTCTTTTTTTGTTGTTTTTGTTGCTATTTTTTGGTGTAACTGGGATCTTGAGTACATAATTTTGTTCCACCTCATGTACCACGTGTGATGCTAATGACAGTGAAGAACTCTTGAATAAATTAGTCCTTAATAAGGGTACCATTATTGTAAAGTGGTACCGTGTTTGTTGCTAAAAAAAATCAGTATTGAGCATTTTGTTAAATATTTTATCTTCTTTTCTTTAGTGTCAGTGTCCCAGTTTTTTAATATAACAATATCAAAAAGTTTTGTTTTTTTAATGTTATTGATTGCTTTCTTTAGAATAAGTATTGTTTACTTTTAGTTTCATATTGGGATTATAATTTTGTGACAACCCTAATATATAACATTAGTATTTATCAGCAAAGTGATCCAAAACACTTGTTAGGTTATAAATTTTAAAAAGCAGCAACAAGAATAACGTCATAGCTGTTTCCACTGTTACAGTTTTCATTTTAACATGAAGGGTGCAGCCAGATGTCTCAGCCTTTTCTAAATAGCCTGAAGGTCCCCTCCACCCCCACCCAGAGTGAACCCCCACATGGCAGGCAGTACAATGTATCAGAGCAATGAGAGAGTCCAGAGCTGTATGTGACAGGGACAGCTGTGAGCTCCAACCATTGTTCCAGAAGAGAGGACTTACAGCCGTGACTGAGCCACTTCGGGCCTCTGTCCTCACACCCCCCTCCCCACCCCCCACCTCGCTACAGCTACACAAGCCCGCTCAGTCCTCCAACACCGAAACCCCGAAGGAGGCTCGTACGCAGCGCACAGATGCTCTCAGAAACTGCTTACACCCAGTCAGCACTGTGCTGCGCCTCTGCGGAAGACGGAAGCTGTGGCGGGAAGAAAAATGGCTGCACCCTTTACCGTCCCACCCCTCTTCCTGCGTCCTCTCAAACCACTGCCTCAGCAGGAACTCATCAGTATGTGGGCCGCACAGACCAGGAGCACAGTGCAGCGATGCTGAGAACAAAGAAATATAGAAAACATCATCTCCTGTGCATGCTTGGCTTTATTTCACTCAGCTTGTTAAGAGTTTTGGACTGTTTGTAGAGAAATGACAACAACCTGAGCTCACACTCTAAAGTGGATGAGCTGCTGACAGCTGATACCTATTGATAGCAACGAGAGATTTTTGCTCTCAGCTGCGAAGAGGTTTGATTTGAGATATGAGGTCTGTGGTGACCATTGTCTGTAGAGTTGCTCTTCAGGCTGGCTGCTCTTCGTGAGTCTCCCTTAAATAAAAGTGCTCAGCCTGTCATATCCAGGCTGAGCAACCAGGCCGCCGTGACTAATCAAACATTGTGAACCGGGCTGCTTACCTTTCTAAAAAGGAATCTAAAATGCAGAGAAGGCAAGCCCAGTATAAACACTGTTGTGTGTGTGTGTGATTTGCCTCTGTTAAACATGCAGCATTCTCACAAACTTCAAGCACTCAGTCTCTGTCTGGAGTGCTTGCTATATATTTGGCAGCATAACCCCGTCACTCGAGCCACTGACACCATGCACTTGAGTTGATATGTGTCTGTGAGTTCTGGCTCTGCTAAACATCTATTGTCACTCACAGGCAGGGGTCCAAGTTGGGTAACTAAAGCAAAACAAAAGTAATGATGTATTTTGGATGGCAATAAAAGTCTCGTCATCATTTTATCTGCTCTCAGAAGAGAGAACGCTCACACCAGTGGGAATGCACATTATGTATTAGAGATATTTCCCCATTATGGTCTCCATTAGTGCACAGATGCTTCTATCTGCTGTTTGTTTGGGAAGTGATTTGTTTGGAAAGTCGTCACCACTCTGAGGAATCAATAACCTTTTAGCCACTCAGATTAATGAGAGCCAAATGCACCTTCCCTCGTCTCTTTTACATACACGGCAGCAATTAAAGGAGACTCGAGGGGGTAAAAAGTGCACTTGATGTGGATGATGGATGACCAAAGCAGGGAAGACAAGCAATGCAACTGCAATATTTGAAATGGTGTGTGTTAGGTCAGCTAAACAGCAGCTCAGGATTTTTTGTTGTTGTTTACCTTTTATTCCATTTCATCAGCACAAATGGTCTTACAGAGAGAGAGAGAGAGAGAGAGAGTTTTGATTGGTTGTAAACACTCAGGGTGTTTTGTATAGTTCTGCGTTTTTCCATCCAACTCACTAGTCTCTGTTCCTCCGCAGCTGATTGGCTCAATCATCGGTCGTCAGGGAACCAAGATCAACGAGATCCGACAGGTGTCAGGAGCTCAGATCAAAATTGGCAGCCAGCTGGATGGGACGAGCGACCGCCACGTCACCATCACAGGAACACCAGTCAGCATCAACCTGGCCCAGTACCTCATTACCTCCTGGTGAGACCCAGTCACACCCTCAGCCATCTGAGTAGTCACTGCAAGTGAAGAGACACACATCTGTTGCAAACTTTTACTGATAGAGGAAGTGATGACTTTTTGCTAACCTCTTTTGTTTACATTCATCCCACTTAGTTTTACTCCATGTTCAATAAATGTCTTAATAAACATATTTCAGCAGCAGTAACGGGCTGCAAGGTATGTAAAATTAAGGGTTAAAACTTTTTATTGCAAGAAATGAATGTGACCAGGGCGGGGGGGGGGGGGGGGGGGGGGGGGGTACTGCGATTCAGGTTGATCGAACGAAGGAAAACACAAACAGAGG